AGGCCCAGAGTTCAAGCCCCACAACTGATAAAAAAATAAATCTGGAAATGAAGCTATGGTTCAAGTGCAAGAGCACTAGCCTTGAACAGAAAAGCTCTATGAGAACATCCCTAGGCTCAGAGTTCAAGTCCTAAGACTAGCACCAAAAAGAAATAAAATAAGTTTGACTAATTACTTCCATTAGCTCATTAATTTCAAATTAATTTGTAGGCAATGTCAGTGAAATCTGAGGCTGTTATATACAGAAATTCAATTTTTTATACTTCAATGAATCAAACATCCATGAGTATAACTTCTATAACATATTTTTACTGCTAGGCTCATTCCTTGATACTTAATACTCAGTTTAAGGAGCTCATTTAGTTCAAATTAACATCCTTTAAAAAAAGATTTTTGACCCTCTTATAAATTATAATCTGTTTTATCCAATGAAACTATGAAAGACATAGACAACAAATAGTATATAAAAGTAGGAACAAAAGGTTAGGAAACTCACTGAAGCCACACAATTACTATATTTTCAAATTCTTACTATATTTTCAAATTCAAGAATGCATTCTTCATTATGCTACATAAAATCTTCCCTTCTGATGGCTGAATGCTTAAATGCTTGCTGTTATCAGTGAGCTCTCATTTCTGATGGTCATACATCTCACTTGTCTAGTTGTTCTTTTGTAAAATCCAAACATACATGAAAGATCTCATTGTCCTCAATGCAACTCAAGGGTCTTAGATAAAATTTGTTTTAATATTTTGTTCCCAAGTCACTTCTGTCAGGTATGACTGAGAGAGCCTTTCACCCTTCATTTTTCCTTGAGAATATCCTCCATTCTTGAAGCCATTGGTGAGAATGGCTTTCTAATATCTGCTGACATAAAAATATTGCTCTTTCCAAGGGACCCATCTTTTATGAGACACTTTAAAGAACAGACATGGAAGTTGGCTGCAGCTGTTTTAGTATATTTAAATCATGGCAAAACAGCAACTCCCTATTTAAAACTTTGGCTTTTGTGATCAGAAGTTAGGCTTACTTGAGAGCTCTAGCCAATGTCTTAAAATATTGTAAGCAATGTATGAGCCAAATAGAGTGACTTAAACTATTAATCATGGCGACTCTGGTGGTAGAGAACAGGAAGATCCAGATTTGAGGTCAGCCCTCACAAAGCTATAAAGTAGATCTCATCTCAATCAATAACCCAGTTATTGTGGTTCACAACGTGTGAGTGTGTGTGTGTGTGTGTGTGTGTGTGTGTGTGTGTGTGTGTGTGTGTGCTGGGGCTGACCTCAAACCCTGGTCACTGTCCCTTATCTTTTTCACTCAAGGCTGGTATTCTACCATTTGAGTCACACCTCCAATTCCATCTTTCTGGTGGTTAATTAGAGATCAGTGTCTCATGAATTTTCTTGCCCAAACTGGCTTTGAAATGGTATTCTCAGATCTCAGCCTTTAGAATAGCTAGAATTACAGGTGTGAGCCACCAGTACTCAGCTGTATGCCTTACTTTTAAGCCTTCTGCCTCTCCTTTCCACCCACTTTTTGCACCACCACTGATGAGGACATGAGTACTGATTAATATTGAAAACAACAGATAAAGCCAGAGGCTTAAAACACAAATGCCTAAGAACAAACCCTTGAATGAAAAAAATTAGGAACAGAATAGTCAGCCAGGAAGGAACTATTTTTTAGGGAAGATACTCAAGATATGAAATATAGGTTCCTACTCCTGGGTAGTAACAAATCTAGACACATGGAGTTTTAGGGAAGGTGACGGAAAGTACCAGAGGTCAGCAATATCCATGTCAAAATAAAAGCCTCCCGCTTTAGATGTGTCTTCTAATTATGATTGTCCTCTCTTACTGTTGTTTCCACTAAAATATATTCAGCATTGATTCAAATCCTCCAAGCTCCATGGCCTTTTCCATATTAATATGTCACCAGTTTTATTCCCTGAGAGGTTTTAACAGATTATTTGTATGCTTCCACTGATAGTTTTTCTAGACCATGACTAGACAGAGCAATTTAATTTTACAAGAATTTTTGACAACCTACATCTTTCACACTTTCGTGGCATAGAATATTAAATTTAATTTCAGGGAAAATAAGTCTCCATCCCCTCACTTTATGTTAAAGTTAGACTATTTTCCATCTTCACTTCCTCCCACTCTGCAATGTTAGGCAGCTGATATTTACTGTTGTCATACTCCCCTTCACAATAAAAATAAGTTTTTCCTTCTACCAAATCCAAGGAAAACTGTTCAAATACTTAGTGCAATTTGATGATAAAGTAAAAGGCAAAACTAAATCATCAGAAAACAAGCTATTCATGTCTTGTGGCTATAAGGCCAGCCACTCAAGTAGCTGCGATCTGGAGGATTATGAGTCAAAGACAGGATAGAATGGAAAAGTCAGTGAGATGCAATCGCCAGAACAAGAAGCCACAATCAAGACTAGCGAAATAGTAGCACAAATGGTAAAGTATCATTTCGGCAAGCCAAGCAGAAATCCGTAAGGTGAAACCCCAGTTCTGCCAAAAGTAAAAAAGGAAGAAAAAGAAAAGTCTTCTACTATAATTCATTAACTTGTTTCTAAAAATAAGGTGCAGTGGATCATCAGTGAAAACCATCTGAGCTTCCTTATTTAAAAGAAGCTTATTTGAAAGAGTCATTCCTATTGTTTTAAATTTTTTCTAGTGTAAACTATCTGCTCTTCCCCTCCATAATGTAAATTAGATATGTAAAGGAAAATATTTATTTTCTAAACTTCTACCAGACTTATTTGTCACACACACACACACATACACACACACACACACACACAAGCATGTGTATACACATACACAAACTACTTCCAAATTTATAGTCCCTGTCTCCTCAGCATAATCTCCATTTTCTCATTTCACACAAGTTCAAAGTTCTCTTTGACTAAGAAAATCACATCATTCCAGATTTTTTTTTTCTGGTTTGTCGTGGAGCTTAAACTCTGGGCCTGGGCACTGTCCCTGAGCTCTTCAACTCAACACAAGTGCTCTACCACTTGAGCCACATTGCCACTTTAGGTTTTCAGGTGGTTAATTGGAGATAAGAGTCTTATGGACTTTCCTGCCTGGGCTGGCTTTGAACTGTGATTCTCAGATCTCAGCCTCCTGAGTAGCTAGGATTACAGGCGTGAGCCACCAGCACCCAGCTCATTTCAATTTTGATGGAGATCCTTTCCTTAATATATAAATTATCTTCTACATGCCTCTCAATGATATCCCTTCTTGTTTCAGGATACTTTCAATGACGAGCATAATGAAACAGAAAGTTAGGTTTTCAAAGAGTTATCATTATTTGAATTCCTTTCCACTGTTTTTAATCATATGGACTTCAGAACAAGTACTCAGATCTAACTTATATATGGACCGGATATTAAAAAGTATCCTGCTCTTTGAAGAAAGTGTGAATCTTTTTCAGTTGAACAAATTTTCCCCTAGATAAACCCTCATATTACTCCCTGGGCTACTGACTATAGAGCTGTCATCTCTGCAGGTGACTTCTGTGAAATCTTGAAGCTGCAGGGTACTGAGAGATTCTGCCTTTGTATAATGACCCCTTCGTGGGGTCATTTATTACCACTGATTAAATATGGTTGTTACTAAGTCTTTTTCTCTGAGATAGAATTTAAGTGGCGGAGTGGTGTATTGTCAAACGACAAAAGGACATCACAGTCACAACTCAAAAAGTTGGATACCCTCTACTCTAGAAAGCCAATCAAGAACTACACTGGGCATTTTAATTCCATGGCCACAGCCACCTCGAGGCAAAAGAACTCCACTTTAAAAAACGGGACCTAACTGTTTCTTACTAATAAAGAAGGAATATCAAATCATGCCCAGTGTTAACGGATTCTTTGCCCTTTGAACTTGATAATGAACTTTCTAGTTGTTCTTTGCTATGAGCATTTTTATTATTATCCACTCAAATGGCTCAACTTCAAAAAAGTATCTGTCAATCATTTTCTTTTGCAATAAGCTATTTCATTCATCCTATTACAAGTGTCTCAATGCATCATTATTTTGGTAGTTTTTCTATTTGCTCTGCTAGAATGTAGAATGCTGGGAACAAAAACACTTATCTATAATTTTCTGTATCTTCAGTGTCTAGAAGGGTATCTACTCAAAGATATTTGTTGATTAAGTGAATAACCACTTGGCTAAACCTCAATATTTGTAAACTAATATATTTGTCCCTCTACCAAATGAAGCTTATGAGATAAAAATATTCTTTCTTCTAACTTCTCCTTTCTTCAAGTTACCTTTTCTGGGCCAAACATCTGACTAATTCCTCAATAATGCTGTAAAAAAATGCCTTCCTTTTTATACTCAAGCTGGAGTAGTATGAGCTTCTTTATGCTCATAGGCAACATCTCCTCTGCCTGGGACTTTTATCTTGAATGGTTATCCCTCCCCTTTCTTTCCTCTCCACTCTAAAAGCAGTGCCATTTGCAAAGCACAATTCTGAAACAAATCAATTCCGTGACTGCGCTCAGGTATGTGAGTGCTCAAGCACGTGGTACATGAAAATTAGGATGAGAAGACACTAGTGATGATAAAGACCTGAGTGTGATATAGCAAGGAAACGCCTAAATCTCAGCCACAGTAGTGTCAGTCCAAGGGACTCCAAAACATGCAATTCACCAGCAAGTACACAAAGATCTGCTAAAAGCCAAGAAAAATGTTTATTGAAAATACATAGTTTCTTTAATTATAGGTTCTCTAGTCATCAACACAGACCGGAGAGTCAGAGCTCAAGGAAGCAAAGGCTAATATTTGAAAATAGTGAGATGGTGCCCCAGGACCTAGGACCTCAGAGATGCCGGGGGAAGGTGCGCGCAGTTGGAGGTCCAAGATTGGAGCAAGCCTGTCATTTCTTGAAAACGGAAATCTTGGCTATGAATTCTCAAAGAAGCATTATCTTCAGAAGTATCGTTTCAAGACCAAGGTTCCTCTAAGAGTAATGTCTTAGCAGCAAGAAGAATAACAGCTTCTGTAGCAAAATGGCCGGTAGCCACAAGAGGAGCCATAGCCACGGCCAGAGCCACAGCCATAACCGGAGCCATAGCCACAGCCAGAGCCACAGCCATAACCGGAGCCATAGCCACAGCCAGAACCACAGCCAGAGCCACAGCCGTAACGGGAGCCATAGCCACAGCCAGAGCCACAGCCATAGCCACAGCCATAACGGGTGCCATAGCCACAGCCAGAGCCACAGCCATAGCCACAGCCATAACGGGTGCCATAGCCACAGCCAGAGCGGGAGCCATAGCCACAGCCATAGACAGAGCCATAGACAGAGCCACAGCCTGAGCCATAGCCACAGCCACAGCGGGAGCCATAGCCATAGCCATAGACAGAGCCACAGCCTGAGCCATAGCCACAGCCAGAACCACAGCCACAGCCATAGCCACTGCTATAGCCACAGCCAGAGCTGCAGCCAGAGCCACAGGAGTTGCCGTAGTAGTTGCAGCACATGTTGTCAAGAAGACAGAGTGTGTATGGGAGTTGTCAGAGAAGGATTCTGAAGAAGTCTATGTCTTCTTCTCCCCTGGGGACCTTTATATACCAGAGGTAATGGGCAGAGTGTATTATTCATCCCCTGACTGAGCCAACAAATATTTAAACAACTCCTGTTGACAATCAGATGAGCTCATGATTTGGGACACTCTGGTTTTCTTTAAGGAAAATCATTTTAATTAGCTCGGCTGAAGTCAAATTAGGTTCCCAGAGGCAAAACTGATTGGAACTCCTTCTAGATCTCCTATCACCTAATACATGGGTCCTGCAGCATAATTTTGAGAGGATGTAGGAAATGTGGCCACCTTCTTTCTCTTCTCTTTCCAAAAACCTCTCTCTCAAGCCAGGAGGAAATATTTCTGCCTCTTTCCCTCAGTCATTGCAGTTACTTACCAACTTCCTTCCGTCCACCCTGAACTTCCATTTTCCAACTTCACTCAGATCCCAAGAAACATCAACATCTCATAAAAGCCAAGGACATTCATGGGGGCCTGATTACATATGTTATTTGTAAGCACTTCCCACTTTGTCTTCTTTCCTATACATTTAGGTCAACTGAGGTCGTAGAGATGGAAAGAAGCTGAACTTTTGTCTCTCGTTTTCTTTCAATGAATATATATTTGTTGTTGAATAATAACCGGCCTAGCCAGGCGCTGGTGTCTCACACCTGTCATTCTACCTACTCAGGAGGCTGAGATCTGAGGATGGTGGTTCAAAGCCAGCCCGGACAAGAAAGTCTGTGAGACTCTTATCTCCATTTAACCATCAGAAAACTGGAAGTGGTGCTGTGGCTCAAGTGGTAGAGCACTAGTCTTGAGCTAAAGAGCTGAGGGACAGCGCCCAAGCCCAGAGTTCAAGCCCCACAACCAACAAAAATAAATAAATAAATAAATAGCCTGACTCAAATATAGAAACAACAAGAAAAAAAGAAAAAAGAGAAAAAAATCTCACTTCAACTAAAAACTAAGCTCTTTCCTCCAATGCAGACTGTGTCCAAATTTTGCATGATACATAAATTCGGAAGCGTATTTCCGGAATTCAAAAAAAACTTTGTTTTTCTTTTCCTCTCCCTAAAGTTCCTGGCACATTTAATTCAGAAGTTAAAGAATAGTGACTAGGTTGGGCACCGGTGACTCATACCTGTAATGCTAGCTACTCAGAAAGCTACGATCTGAGGATTGAGTTTTAAATCAGCCCATTCAGCAAAGTCTGTGAGATTCTTATCTCCAATTAGCCATCGGAAAATTGTGAAGACAGATGGTTCTTGTTGCAGGATCCTATACAGCACAAGTATAGTGGCTTCCCGAAGAGGAGACAGGGCCCTCCTCTCAGGGCAGCCCTAATGTCTCTACTTCAGGACTTTCCTTTCTCTCCTCTACATGAGGAATAGAAACACTGGAAGAATGCCACATATGTGTCAGCTACTCTCAACAATGGCTATTTTTGTCCTCTGGGAGACATTTGGAAATCTCTGGAGAAAGTTTCAATTGGCTCCACTTGGGGCCAGGTACCATTGGTTCATGCCTATAATCCTGACTAGTCCAAGAGGCTGAGATTTGAGGACAGCAGTTCAAAGCCAGACTAGGCAGAAAGTCTGTGAGATTCCTATCTTCAATTAGCCACCAAAAAAGTGGAAGCGGGCCTATGGTTCAAGTGGTAGAGCACTGGCCTTGAGCAAAAATAAATAAATAAACACCCAGACTGAGTTCAAGACCCACTACTAGCACCAAAAAAAAATGAACTATTTTTTTATTTCTGAGATTTCTGGTATCTAGTGATAACAACAGGGATGCTCAAAATGCTACAAAATAGTCACCAATAACAAAAACATACCTGATTCCAAATGTCAGTAATGGTGAGCTCTAACAATCCAGCTTTCTAGCTATTATTGATAAATAGCTGTATTCACAAGTGTCTGATTGAAACATACTGTTTATTCTCACTCTACCCCCAATATCTTACCTTCCTATCATAAAACAGCACTTTAAAGGGGTAAAATAAAAACGATTTTTTATTTGTTGTTTATTTTTACTTATCTTACTTGCCTAGATTTAACTTAAGTCGTTATTTTCAGAATCAGACAGAATCTAAATTTTTCAATTGTCTTTCATGTTAGTAGCCATGAAATTCAATTTGGGGGTGAATATAAACTCGAGAATATCAGACACTTGGCTGGGAAGATGGCTCAGCGGTAGAGCACTTGCCTTGCATGCTTGAGGCCCTGGGTTCGATTCCTCAGCACCACATAAGCAAAAAAGAACAAAAATAGAAAAAAGAGAAATCAGACACTTGAATTTAGATAATAAAGGCATGAATGGTAATTCATTACTTTATTGAAAAACTTGGACAGGGATTCTCACAAAACTGTTGATTTCATTCTCTGAAAACCTTCCCTATCATTTTTCCTTCTGTTGAGTATTCTTCCTATTTTGTTCCAATATTAGTCACCAGTCTTATCTGATCTCTTTGCTGATTTATTCCCAACAATGAATGAAAATTAATCCCTATTCCAATATCTCTCTTCCCTTGGTTTCCTACCCTTTTATTATTTTTGAAATTCAAAATTATAAAATTATAAATTATAAATTCTATCTCCCTGGTATTGACAGTTTGCTTTGCAACACCACTGGCAACACACACTTTCAGAGCATGATATCCTTAGATTTGATTTTCTCTCAGAAAACCTTGGGGAAAAAGTCTTATATCTAGACGTGTCACTAGTCATGCCTTTCCATGACATCTCTGGATACTGAGCCATAAAGTTTTGTGCAGCCATGATTAACCAGATCTGAATGCACTCCTGACACAGAGTTTATACTTAATATTTCTCCAGTAAAAATACAAATGACTAATTCCATGTTTCATTGTTAGTGTGCCACAAATAAACAAGCTATTAGTTAAAAAGCAAAAATAGTTTCTTCTTTCTAATCATTTTTTTTGTTTCATTGCTACTTGGTGAGGAATAGAATGCAATAAATGTGTCTCTCTTGATTTCAATTTTCTAATACCACCATAGTTTCAAATTCTCATTTATATTAGTTTGTGGGACATACATATTTATTTCTATTGGAATGCTGATTTCATCAGAATTTGGTGTAACAACTGTAATATAAAGTACATGGCTCTTTAGGAAATACATATATAATTAAAAACTTTTGTGATGAAGAAGCTAAACCTTCCAGAAAATAAATTACCTTTCTGGTGACCATTGTAACCCCTGACTGAGCTGTATAGAAATGTATTACTGAAACCTCAATATCAAAGTCACGCCACAGGGCATGACATTGTGCATGTTTTTAAGTTCAGCAGTTATAGGATGACTGTGTTGTATTTCAAAAGCACAACACATGGAAACATGCTAGAACACTGTCATAGCTAAAGACCACATGATTTTCTCGGAAATTCCAGAAGAGTCCAAATATAAGCCCATTGTAAAGAAATGTTGTACTTTCAGGACTATCATTGTGCTGATGTATACTTTAAGTATCATCTTATAGTAAGGTGTTTTATCAAGATAAAAATTTGCTAAATAGTAAATCTTGAATATCCATGTAAATTATGTTCTAGAGCTCTCCATAAATTGAGAGGTACATAAATTTCCCCATTACAGTGTACTGCTTCATTAGTTTCTGCCAAGCATCTTCTAGACAAAACTCTCATGAAATCATGAACACAATCCCCTCAAGCAGTACTATATTGTACTATTGCAGGACTATATTGCACTATGTTGTATAAGAACTTGTCTTAATTCGTATCTCCTTTGGTTAAATGAGTAATGAGTGTATTTATCAATAAGCTTCTTTCTTTTGCAGAAAGAAGCTTAAGGTCAGAAGCACAAATCCACAAGAGCTGAGTGCTTCCTCCACTCCTAGCCAGTTTCTGTCTATCTGTCTCTCTGTGTGTCTCTGTCTCTGTCTCTCTCTGTATCTCTCTCTGTCTCTCTGTCTCTGTCTCTGTCTCGCTCTGTCTCTGTCTCTCTCTGTCTCTGTCTCTCTCTGTCTGTCTGTCTGTCTGTCTGTCTGTCTGTCTGTCTCTCTCTCTCTCTCTCTCTCTCTCTCTCTCTCCAGCCCCCTTCATGTCTCTCTCTTTGAAAGTATTTCTTGCCAGATCTGATGGGTTATTTCAGATCTCCCAGTCATGGTAATGAGATGGCTTATTATCCTCCCTCATTGACTTCTTCGTGGCCTGCATGTTTCACACTTTGACTCAAATGTCCCTTGTTCTTAGAATTCTTTCTTGGCTCACTCATCACTAAAAAATCTCTCAGTGTTTCATAGGAAAATAACTACTTTTTTCTATTTTTAATCTTATATAATTCATAGAAGACTGTGAGTGTAAAGTGATTAAGGCCCCAACAGAGAGAGAGAGAGAGATCTACATATATATAATAAGTAAGTAGGCATAAGTAGATGACGAGGCGGGCAAGGAAGGAAGGAAGGAAAGAAGGAAGGAAGGAAGGAAGGAGAGAAGAAAGGAGAGGAGGGGAGGAGAAGGGAGGGGAGGGGAAGGGGAAGGAAAAGGGAAGGAGTAAGGGAGGAGGATAGGGAAGGAGGAAGGGAAAGTAAGGGAAGGAAAGGGGGAAGGAAAAGAAAGGGAGGGAGGGGATGCAGAAAGAGGAGGAGAGTGGGGAGAAGAAGACAGAGGATAGGGGACCTGAGAAGACGGGAGGGAAGGAGGGGAGGGGAGAGCCATGTGGCCATGGTTTTGTATACTTATGTGGTTGCCATGGCTACTACTCACTTGGCTACAGGAGATGCTTTTTCTTTTACAATTAGGGCATCATTTATGTTGAAATAACAAGAGGAAATCTATTCCAAAAGTAGTTGACATCAGTAGCCATGACTATTTAAGTCTTGCTTAGCTGATTTTGCCACAGCCACTTACCCCATCGCTACAGCCAGGGCTTGACAGACATCTCCATGAAATCAGCACATGCCAGCGTGGGGAGGTGGGGATGT